GATTGGTGCTTTTAGAACTTTTTCGGGCTCTACGGTCGATTCCTTGGAGTGAATTGGAAACATGGTGTAGTGATTGTCTTACTACCTGTAGTCATATCTTATTACCTATCTTTGTATATAATATTTAGTTATTTGGATCAGATCAGCTAGGGTCTGGTAGCTAGGGAAATGTATTAACAAACAAAATAATACTTTGTAAAAAATAAATAAAACATAAAATATTTTGAGGCCTTATACTTTGCAAATTAATTTATATCAACAAGAACTTAAACATACTATTTATGTTGTGCTAACCGTACATCGGCAACATACATGGGTAAATTTTTTTGAAGAGTGGACAAAGAGCAGCTTTTTTAAATATGTATTTCCATATACAAAACACGTTAAAATTGAGCTATCTGAGAAAATAAATTCAAATAGTTTTATATTAACTAAGTTGTAAAACAATTCTTACTTTCGTATATTTTAATAGAACTTTTTTAAAGTTCGGCAAGCAAAATTGTACTTGATCTGGATCGGTTTATTTTCTTTCAAGGAATCTACTCCTGAAGCATTTACCATTCGCTTTCAGACATCCTGTATGGACAAAAATTAGTATTCTTAGACCTTTTCTGTAGGACGTATAGGTTTATCATTTACGTAAAGACATCCATTATGTAAATGGTTGTGTGCACCAGCACTAATGAAAACTTTGATGGCTTAGCCAGAGAACATTTTCCATTATTTTCCCAGAAACTTAATCCAACTTAAGCGAACTGTTATGAGGGATTTAATCATTCATTTCGCGTAGAAGAGTGCAGCGCAGCTATATACCTCGTTTGCATCAGCGACACAAAATAGGCGAACGAACTAACCCGCAACGAATTTAATCTTGAACTCGGACGTCCACTCGCTGAATATTCCGTTGTTGCTAGACGGAGACGCAACAATGGCTAAGAAAAATGTTCTTGGCTTAGACGCGAAAGCCCCGTTTAAAATGTTTTACCGCCCGCCGATAGTAAATTGCAGTGGCAGGTCTTATTCTGTCAAGGAATTGAGCCGTAATTTTATTTTCATTTTATTGAGTTGCCGCACGTGGGATAAAGTACGAACACAAAATAGGACTTGCCAATTACGAAAAAAGAACCAGAGCCGGGCTGTACCGCAAACAAATATATTGGTGTGCCGTAATGAAATCCCAGGTGTAATATAAACGCTTCATGTAGCCTCTATTTTATTTTTCTACTTTGGAATTACAATTCATTAACATAAATATAAGGTTACATTATAATTCCTGTCATATCATATCTCAGAAAATGCTGATGCATATGATTAAATAATATTTACACCATTTCGCTTGATTAAAACAATGCAGTATAGTATTTTTATACGTTGAGTGAGAAATCACTCAACGTTTTAACTCTATAAGCTTGTATCCAGAATGTGATATTAATTAAAAAATTTGAAATCGCAGAGTTTAATTACATAATAAGCTTCTGCAGTAAAAATTAAGTTGGAGACTTCAATTTAAATGTGCGAAAATTTTTATACTATCTCTACATGCCTATTCAGGGTGTGTGAAAGACTGATAGTCCGAAAAAAACTTCTGTTTAAATGAAATAGTCAACACCGGCAAATCCTGTTAAATTATACAGGGTGTCTCACGGTGACGGCCCATTAGAATTATTTCAGAGACTACTTCGATTTGAATTTTGAAAATTTGTGATACCGGGTTTTCGGGCATGCCCTTATCAACTAAAATAATTGGCGTCCACGTACCACTTCTGGTTATACCGGAAGTCGCCATCAACTTGCCTATTTTAAATGGAACACCCTATATATTATTGCAATTTTGGATTCTACGTGTTATTTTAGGTGGACTTTTATGAAGTTTCCCTATTCTTAAAATTAACCGTTTTCGAGATAGTTAATTTTTTTCAAAAAATGGAGAGAAATAGTGACTAGCCTCAAACCATGTGTATTTTATAGTAAGAAAGATAAAGCAACAATATTTATAGGTTGGATAGCTAGACCCCTAAGCTTCCCATCCATACTTTCAAAGTGGCTTAATTGCATACAGGGTGCTAGAAATTTAATGCCGAGTTTAGTTAATTTCAAACCTTCATAAGTCGTTTTTTTTTAATGGAACACCCTGTATGTTTTTCTATATTCTGATACACAATTTTATTCTCTTTCGAACGATATCAATACCTACATCTTCTAGTTTTTAAGGTATCTACAATTTTTTGTGTAATCACCTAAAATCATGTAACTTCTTGCGAGGATAACTGTGGAATTTTTAGCAAAACTTCAAAACAAACAACTAAATTGTCAATTTGTTGTTAGTCTCATGCAGTGATAATTTAATTTAGTGTTTATAAGAAATGTAAAACAATACATATTCAAATGTTGATATTTTAAATTTATTATTAATTCACGGATTACAATGGGATTACAAGCAGAACATGTACAGTTTTTAATGAGACATATCCAAATTTGCCACCAATGAGCAGAAAAAAGTTAAGAAGAATTTTAGCAAATCAACTAGAGCATGGTCGAATTTGTGGAGAAAGAATTTTACCAAAACCAATAACTTCAAATGAAGATAATGTAATAAATGTGCTAGCCTATTTTAATGTTCATCCAGAATCCTCAACTCGTGCCGCAGAGTATGATTTAGGCATTTCACGAGCGTCCATTCACAGGATGCTAAGAACTAATGATATGCATCCATACAAATTTAAGCTACTTTCTGCTCTTCATCCGGGTGACGCCGTGCAACGTGTACAATTTTGTGAAACGATGTTAGTGCGATACCAAGAAGATCCACAATTTTTGCAACATATTATATGGACAGACGAGTCAAA